TATTTCAGTAGGTTTGGATTTGATGTTTTTGTCGGGGTTGTGTGTGTCTGTGTTTGTGTGTTGTTTTTGACAATTTTGTGTTTATTCCCATGAGTTTGTGTCGGCATCATTTTTCTCTCCGTCTTACTTGAGCTCCCACAAACACTGACAGACACTTACACTTTATCACCTAATGCCAGCTAAAGCCACCTACTCGGCTCCACCCCACCCTCCTTGTCTGTTTGTCGCACACTTTGCTGCCCCCTTGTCTCCCCCCTCGTCTCCTTCTCTCACGCCACACATTAGCAGCAGAAGCACACGTACAGACAATCACGTCTCAGTTTCCCCTGTGGCTGCCTGATTGACGTATCCTTGACTATCCCTTTAGAGTTACTGTAATAATCAAAGGGCAGAGGGAGGAAAGAGAGAAGGAAATTCATTTGAAGAATAGTAAAGCAAAGAGGGGATAGACAAGGGTGGAGGACAAGGAGAGAGAGTTCAGGAGCTATGCAGGGAGGGCAGAGCAGGAGAGATAGGAGACGAAGTAGGAAAAAAAGTGACAGAGGACAGAGTGTTGGAGGGGAACAGGAGTTTAGAAAAGTGATGAATGATGGAAACAGGGGGAAGGAAAGAGGTAAATCCACAGAGGACAGAAAACATTTCCCATTAAACGGAGATTACACAGCCTCTGTCAGTCCACAGTGCAGCGTGGCTTTACAATCTCAGCCTAACACCCTGTTTTAAAGATCAGTTTGTCACTTTTCATCTCCCCCTACATCTTATTCTTCTTCTCTTCCTCCAAGGCTGAAGGCAAAGATGCCAGGAGGAGGAGCTTCAGATGCAGTTTCAAAGGAATGAGGCAAAAAGACTGACTTCTATTTACGAGCACTTATGATGATGTCATCTGCAGTAAATCCTCTCCTCTCCCTGTGCGCGTGCACACACACATGCACGCATCCTTGTTTTTGTCACTTGTGGGGTCCCTACATAGACTTACATTAATTTCCAGGACACTTACCATAACCTTAATCAAAGCCTACACTTGCTTTAACCTTACACTCCATTGTTTTCATAAAATTTGACAAGCTCTGTTGTGGGGACCAGCCTCCGGTCCTCACAAGTGACTTCCAGTACCCACAAAGATAGTAACGCAAGGATTTTGAGCACTGCACAAGTATTGAAAAACAAGGCCACACACACACACAATACTGTAACTGCCCAGCAAACTGAATCACTTCCTCAGCTGTCACTGATGTGTATGTATTGATACATCAACAAGGGAAATTCCCGAGCAACTGTGTCGCGGTACGTTGGTTTTCCCACCTGGTCGACTTGCTTTACTGTCAGGTAGCAAGCTACTTACTGCTAGCTTGGTTGCTAATGGGACACTAAGTTCACACATTTTCAGACATGTTTGTACTGTTGACTACTGTTTCTGTGAGCTAACAGCATCTTTTTGTTGAGATCTTTATTTACTAGCAGTCTTATGTAAAACTAGACCGTGAAGGCTGTGATGGATCCTTCTCCTCCCAGATGTCAGTGACATATTAATAGTCAATGGTACTAAATCTCTCAAAGTTCACCAAGTGGAATTAATGCTCTCCTCAGCTGAGCCATTCTGTACATCCACTCTAAAGTCTGTCTTCTGGAGGTCCCTGACCTGCCAAACTTCAGGAACCTCTGATCTGTGGCTTGCATTTCAAAGGCTGAAAAGGTCCAGGGTGACAGAGATGGGAGCTTCCTTGAGACCAAGCAGGGCAACTTTGCTCTTCACTGTATAACACAGACAGAATAGAAAACACGGCTTAGATGGGAGCAGATGGAGTGTGAGTTTCTCCTCAGAGAGAGAGAGAGAGATGGAGAGAGAGGTGAGATAATAGCCCACAGCTAATCCACTGCATGCTGAAAACTCATTACTCCTTAGGAAGGAAAAAAAAACGTGCTCCCTGAGATGGTAAGAAATACTCTGCTGAAGGTGAAGACCTGGCCACAGACTGCCTGCTTTTCTCATGTGTGAAAATCTTTTTATGTACAGTTCAGCAAATTTGACTTGGTGTCTTTATGGATGTGGAGCTGTGTACGAGCACGGCGTTGGGCACCCTCTGCTCCTGAGGACTCCCACTAACACATTTATCATCAACAGCAGCAACCACACACACTTTGCAGCGAACACACACACTGCTGTACCTTAGACAAACAAAAACAACACAGCTGCAGACCAACAGTCTTAAAGCAACATACACATTTTAGCTCCTTCACGTGCACATTATTTATGACCATTTTTATTACTGCTAAGACTATAGTTTTATATTTTGGGGTATATTTTTATCAAGGTTTCCTTAGAGTTGGTTTCCATTTCTTTCTATATTGTATAAAATGTATTAGTAGACTTGATGTTCCCAACACTGTGTAATATAAATGTTATATAAATGGGATATTACAGCTTTGTCTCAATGCAGTTTAGGTGCAGTTAAAATCTGCACTTCATTGCTACTTTCAGGTGAAGCAATAAACCATTTCTCTGCTTTACTGTGCTACTAGAAGTCATTAACTTTTAATTTAATGAAGAATACAAATCCAATTCCTGAGTGTTCTAGTGTAATCTATGGAGATGGTTTCTAATCAAACATTTCAGTTACATCAATCTTAATTTATCCCACAGATGTGTGCTTTGACTGGATCTTATCATTTCAAATATTCATTATTCTGTCAAATATTAATTGGTAGTTTCAATCGAAATACATTTTTCATGTTTTAGTGTTGCACTCATTCAAGGACAAACAGAAGCGGAGCAGGCAGGCAGCTAAAAAGCTTTCCTCTGCTTTCTCGTCCTGTGAAAATGTAAACACTGGAAAAAGGAAGTAGGCGACACCCTTCAGTGCCATGGTATCACTGCGACGGTGAGAAACACCTGCCCACCTGACAATATGACAAGTTCAGCCAGCTTCATCTAAAAATAGTGCCATGTTATCAGTGTTCACTCTGTGATTTCAGCCAGCAGTCACAGGGACGCCACTTGTCGCCAGTATTTTACATCAAGCATCTCATCTCAGGAGCGTAAATGAATCAGGATTGGGTAGTTTTGTGACTAAAATCATAAAAAGAAGATGAAGCTTCACATTCAGCGGCTGTTTAATGAGGCGGCTCCTGTTCAGCCCCATCCTTTAACCTCAGCTGCCTTCTGCACAGCACAAATTCAGTTTGACACTCAGACTCACATCCACCACCAGCTCCACAGTCTGACCGGCCACAGGAAACAGCAACAAATGCCTGTACATGCAATGGAGAACAGGTGGTCAAGCACGATATGTGTTTGTGTGTACTGCACCACCATTATTGTGGCCATGATGACATGATTTCACTGACAGCAACCCAACCTCATCATCACACCAGTGTTTACTACTCAGTTAACTCAGTCACCTTTTCCTCTTGTCAGCTATAGTGGTGCATTGTTGTATTAGTACTGGGTTATCCTGAAGTCTCAATACACTCTTACTATTCAATCCATAACTTGTCAGAATTCTGGTTCACTGTAAATCTAGGTAGCAGGTGACGTGTGCAGCACTAATGATTTCTTCACAGCATTTCTAAATACACCACCTCTGTGATGCTCCTTTGCCTTCTCATACTGTAGAAGTGGAGTATTAAGCAGTGTATTGACAAAGTGTTTGGAGCATACACCACATATGGATCAATGGGGAAGAGGTGGATTATGATGCAAGACTGATATGGGAAGATTTGGCTATATGCAAGTTTTGACATGGCCTCCACAAATGAGCACATGACAGAATTTCAGTGCCGCACTTCAAGACCACAGACAGTCAAAGTTCTATAGTGTAAAGGTCCGTGGTGTATTCCTCCTTGGTTATGGAAAGATCCCCTTTGTTAGCTGATTTCTGTCTGGGATCTTCACACTGCTTTCAATTTAAGACTTGGCTGGAAAATGGCATTGTCACGTGAGCCTGTGCACCAATCAGGATTTGGCAACATTTCCATCAAGATGTGATGAATGCTCTGGGGTTGATCATTTATGTTGCCAGACCTGGGGTCAGTCAAATCTGAACAAACTACACCTGCTCAGTCCTTTTGAAGCAAATTAACTGAGACTTGGAGTTTTAAATTCAGAATAACACCTGAGGATCTTTTTTTTTAATTATCTTTGTTGCTTATTTCTTCATGAATATATACTTCAGATTTGAATCCAGGATTTCAGGGGGTTGAATAATAATTAATTATAGATGCTCTAGATGCTTGACAACCACAGGAATTACAGTGCAGATACCTCACTCCATGTAGACACCAACAGGAGCTGCATAGGGGTGGATTTCCATTCTGCGCTATACAAATGTCTGCTTTAAGGGAGAATTACCAAGCTGCACCTCTGCAGTGTGAAAATCACTTAGGTTCTTTCACCTTCCTTTGCTCATATGTGATAAGTTTATATTGTCTAAAAATGCATTACTCTCTTATGATCATCTCACGTCCAGGAGGTCGTTGCAGCACAAGCAATTAGAACATTATTCAGATGGCTGCATGCTGGAATGGGATTACTGAAGATAAGATTTGATGGGTTTTTTTTCTACTCAGCGTGTCAAGATAAGAATCGGTGCAGTGTCCAGCCTAGAAGCACCACCACATCCTGCTTAATGGTAAGATTAGGCTGCGACACATCTTGGTAATCAGGTTGCACTCAATGGAACATGAAATGCCCTTTTTGTCACAAGACTGCAGCCTCCCTTACAAATTCCCAGCCTGTTACATTAAGTTTACTGTGTGTGCCCCGGGGACCACACTGCGACTGTAGCGTGCTGGGAGCCAGCAGCAGATACAGGAGACAATTAAAATAACTGGCTGACTTCGCTGTAACGGTCTAAGAATGAAGAGATTTGAACTGAAACGAACTGAAATCGAGAAGAAGTTTAGAGAAAAGAAACATCCAGAAAAAACAGACACCCCATCGGACTTGCGCATAAATATATCAATTCCCACTGTGGGTGCAATAGGATAAAGGTCGCACTTACCTCCCAAAGCTTGCTTCATAACGAAATTCATGATGATGGCTTTTAATTCCTCGCCTGCCTTATCCGAGCGATGTTACATTCAGTAGACGCAGAAATGTAGAAGTCCTTTGTTGCCAGATCTGGAGGGGAAATGACAAAATCTGTATATTTCTTTCAGAAAATCATTGATCCTAAATGTAATAATCCTAAAATATATCAGTGAGACAACAAAAGCAGTGACTATACTGTACATACTGCGCTCATCGTTACTTAATAGGTCACTGTAAAGTCACTTCAGACTCCCATAGGCATGCTCCCTATTAAATGTTATATAAACTATTAGCAAGCGGTGATGTCTCAAATGTCTCTGCATTTAGTTCCAACTGAGGCACACCCGGAGACAGTCACGTTTAAGGTTATAGTATATGTACTTGTGTCTTACGCACGTCTCTTCAATGCGCCAATTGAAGGACATCAAGGTCGATGGTTCAAGCTCAACCCGAACCCAACGGAAACCACTGAAAAACGCCAGACATCTCAAATCTACAGACCGAGTCATCAGCTGTGGTTCATTGTTTCATTGCAAATTTGGCGCTTTTAAAAGAATCCACAGTGTTTTGTGTCAGGCAGTGTGGGGAGTGTGTGTCACGACGTTCACTAAAACCCCGAGCTTTGCCCGCAGCCAAGCGACTTTTGAGAAAGTGTGTGGTGCAAGTCCTTAGCTGGACAGGACAGTCTGTTGTCATGCATGTGGAACGGAATCACTGCTGTGTATTCTTCCTGATCATGTGCTAAAACTTTCCATCCTCCATTGGAGGGACAGTGGACACAGCCACCCCACTCCGACATCCAAAAGCTTTCGTGCAGTGCGTTAATTAAGCAGCAATGCGGACTGATGCGTGCAGATACGTGTGCAGGAAATGTGTTCAAAATCGATCGGGCGTGCACAGTGACCGAGACGGTGTAAACGCAGAGATACACATGCACTTCCTCGTTTGAGGCTATTTTCAGCACCGGGGTGAGTGGATAGCTCCTCAGCCCGGTGAATTGCACTGAAGCAGCCGCATCAAGCATCGATTTACCTCCGTCCGGCGACCGGCTGAAATCCTCCTCACACACTTACACACCGAACAAGGATCAGAAAGCAGAGCTTCAGCTGCAGCACCCTCCGGGACCAAGTTATCCTGCAGCAGGTAACAGCAGCACGGGCTAATCTAACTGCTCCTTTGCATCTCCGGCTCCAGGGGCTGGAAAAAGGACGTCCTTGGTGCTTCCTCCTGCCTGCCGCTTCGTCTCCCTGCACACTCACTCACTCACACACGTAGAGAGAAAGGAGGAGAGGAGGAGGGTAGTTTCAGTTAGACTTTGAGAGGGGGGGTCCAGCAGCTGCCGTTCACTACGTGATGGGAAGAAGCGACAGAATCACATGGAGGGATAGAGAGAGAAACGTCCCACTAACGTCCCCCTGACCCATAGAGAGAGATCAGTTATTCAGCCCTGATGCTGGATGGCTGCTGCGTCCTAGTACAGCCCGCCCTTTTCTCTGCGAAGGGCAAGAGGACTCGGCTTAAAAAGGTACTGCAGGAAATATCGGGAATGTGATGGGTGTTGGAGACTATGTTGTAGCTTGATGTCTCTTGATTTGTCTCCAGTGTTTTCTTCACTGTGACACACGTTCGGTTTTCATCCAGGTGAAACAAAAAATGTTCCCATGGGCTTCCTTTCGCGTTGCTATAGAGAATTGTGTTTGTGTTGTGGCGATCATATTGATCTTTAATCCCACGATTACATTATAATATTCCTACTGAAACCAGAGCATACTGGTGGTAAGACCCTGTATAGGACAGGGGCAAAATGCAAAAGAGGCACTATATAACGTAATGCCTACCTGAGGCACGTGGGCCAAAACAAAGCATGGACGTGTCCTGATACAATGTGTTCCTGACACTTCCTGGTTAAATAAAGGTTTCAGGTTAGGGGCTGTTTGACCAAAAAATAACCTCCTGACTGCCACCCCGCTCACAGATGGGACTGAAACAGCAAATTAAAGCATTCAAGCATCAAAAAATGTAATGCTCTTGATGCTTTGACCTGTGGTTTGCTGTGCATTTTATCAACACTCTGCATGTGGGGTTAGACCCATTGGTGATCTATTATAATTTACTATACACATCCTATGGGATTGTGAGCATGTTAACACAATGCTCATTAGTCATTTTTACACTAAAGGAAGATAAACTGAAACCTCATTCAGAATGATTTAGGATAAAATGAGGTAAAAGTAATTGGTGCAGCAGTGTTTCTTATTTGATAACCAAAGAAATATTTTAGGGTTTGTACAAAACCTATAGCCATCGCAGTGTGTAAGAATACACAATAACAAAGTTCGGGTGGTTTGAGTCTTCATAGTGTTTCAGGTGCTGAACAGACCTGCTTGTCCTGAGACAAACGAGGATGCTGTTGTTTTGGTTGCTTTGAATGTGTAGCCTTGCATTTACCATGTAAAACATCACTGTTGATAAGTTCTTCTCTGACCAGCTAAGTGGTGTGTGGGGGTGTTTCACTCAACCTATGCACAGCTTGGAGTAGTATTCAGATTTTCTATTCATTCAGCTTGACAGAAAAATAATGAGCTTTCTTTGACTTGTGGAGCATTTTGTTCATAGTCTGAATCACTGACAGCACCAAGGTCATATTCATTTTTGTTCTCAATCCATTTCAAGTGAAATGTTTTTTGTCTGTGCAGTTTGAAGGAGAATCAAGCTTAGCAGAGCTACTGATTGTTGGCACAAGCTGTCCTCACCGGCAGAAAAACTTGAAATTTAAAAGATTTGAAGTGGCTCTCTCAACCTCCACTTGTTCGATGCCAAAATGGGCTCCATAATTAACATCTTATGTACAGTATGTTATGCATAGTATATTAGGGGGAATGAACAGTACTATGCAAAAGTCTTAGGCCACCATTAGACTTGTTGTTTGACAATATTATGATGACTATATATATTTATTTATCAAAGTGCAACTAGAAACCCTAAAAATATGTACATGGTATTAAAATGTTGGAAAAAAATCAGCAAACAAACCGGATTCTCCAGATGTGGTGTTCAAGCTGTTCTAAAGAAACATGAAGACTCTGGAGCGGTCGGGGACAAAAACTGGGGTGGAAGAGCAAGAAAACTGTCAGAATCTGATGAAAAGTTTCTCAGAGTTTCTTCTTTGAGAGACCAGAGAAAACCCAGCGAGGACCTGGCTCAGCATCTGGATGCCAAGTTGATCCTTCCACAGTCTGAAGAAGCTCAATCAGGAACGGCCTTTGTGCAAGGACGGCAGCCAAGAAGCCACTTTCTCAGAAGGGGACAGGGAGAACAGGCTGAGATATGGAAACGCTCGCACAGATTGGAGTGAAGATCAGTGAAAAACAAGATTATGGAGTCATGAGTTGAAGTTTGAAATGTTCAGGTCCAGTCGTCGACAGTATGTGAGAAGAGGAGAGAGGTGGACGAGTGTAGCAGCCTTCAGTGAAACATGGTGGAGGGTCTGTCATGGTTTCAACACTTCAAGACAGTCTCCCCAAAAGAATTCAAGCTGTGCTAAGTGCAGAGGGCGCTCACACTAAACACTGACGTTAAATACTGTAGAAGCCACTTTGCCCTGAAAATAAATGTACATATTTCCTTGTTCTATATTAGCAAAGAGACTGAGAAATACACATAAATTATTATTGCAACCTTGCTAAAACAGTAAAACTAATGGTGGCCTAAGACCTTTGTGTAGTACTGTATATGAAAAGAAAATATATATTTTTTATCTGTGCTTGGTCAAACAAAATAGTACATGGCACAAAGAACACTGTTGGTGTCTCACTCTACCCAGTGAGGGTACACATTAATATGATTTTTATCGGCTTGTTTTGGTCCATAATACAGCTTGAGCCCTTTTTGTTCCCAGCTCACAACACTTTTTCCTATCTGAGCCTTACTTGCAGGGAGGTTAAATGCTTGCCTGATCTTTTCAGTCACATCAATCATTATACTGTATTATCTTATACAGTATATAGGATGATGTGTTCTGCAGAGCTGTGTATTTCCCCAAATAATATGGCTCTTGTGAAGATGAGCTTCGTTTAAGCTTTTTGCTGCTGTGCATCCTTGTAATGTATGTACCTGCTCACACATGTACAGCACATGAAGCAACTAAGCTGAATACATAGAAAATCCTGCCAGTATAAAATGATGCAGTAAATCCAAAGAGTGTTACTTGCATCAAATTATCAGGTTAAAGCAGTGCACTATTTAATGCCACCTTTATGGATTTATGGAAATTTGTGACATTAGAGTGACCTCTCCTCCTTTTCATTTTGCATAAACATGCTGAAAGCAGCTTTCATACACAGGCTGTGTCTTTTTGTGTGTTAGCAACTTTCTATGACTTTTTTAGAGAATCCAAGGATTTTTGTATTTGCATTGGTTTACATTCCTTATTATTGGTTATTTAAACACATGGACATGACAAGCAGCTAAAAGCTGCAGAAAAAGGTCAAATGAACTTCGTGATGTGCATTTTTTTGGTCAAAATGCTCATAAAAACATAAAAAAATTGAAAACAGTGTTCAATATACATGTATTCATGATTCTATAACTGCTCTCTATTTGTTTCTGTTCACATCAGTTGTCAAACTGTTGCCTCAGGTTGTCTACCAGGATGCCTACTGGATAAAACACCACCCACAGCCTCCATGTGTTTCCAGCATTAGGCTGGGAGATGACTATTGATCAGAGATGAAGATCAATAGCATTTCTGTCACAGCAGCATCGCACTTCCAGTACGACAAATGCAAATCTCAATGATATTGATTGATTACAGCTCCGTAAGTATGCACAGACCATGTAGCTATGGTGCCACTCTAGAGGTGACCTGCAGACTTCCATCACATTCTCATCCCAGGGCATCAGATACGACAATAAAGTACCTTTTTCATCCACATGAGCCACACAGGGCTTTCAGCGCCGTACAGCGTTCACCGACTCGTGTCAGTATGAGACGCCAAAGGTGCTTCTCAAACTGTAGGTAAACACTTTGGATTTACACAAAAAAACTAGGTGCTTTGGATTCTAGGTGTTAAGGAAATGACGGGCTTTTATTTTTTCACTGAGAGAATGAAGGTTTTAGTGTTGTGTGACAGTTTGTGTTATTGTGGTTGTTGTTTCTTTGCTGTCAGCTTTGGTGAAGCTTTGTCAGACCTGAAGTGAAAATTATGTAAATGTCTTTCAGGGAATTTAACTGTAAAACCTTTTCAGGCAGATTAAATGTTTGATACCCAGGAAATTAGGTTAGACTGGCACTTCACTGATGCTCCTAATCAAACTCCTAACCTTAAATCCATCCTTTGTCCTGACTTGATGCAATCACAGCGGGATCTTCAGTTTTTCCTGGATGCAAGGAATGAGTACAAGAGCACAAAAACACACACAATCATACACTACCCCCTCTCACATACATCTCCCTGACATCTTGCTAATGCAGCTCAGGCCCATTCTCATTTGCTACATCCTCTGTCTTCCTGTATCTTCTCTTATCTCTTATCTTAAAACAAACACACAGTTAGTGCACTGGCACATCTTTGTTTGCAGTGCAGACAGAACAGTAATGTGTCTGACTCAGACATTAGTGGAAGATCCCCACAGAGTTGCCAGAGCTGATCTATGTATTTAAGTGACGAGGTGGCCTGTAAATCAACATGGCGAGCCAGCAAGGCGCCACTGAGATATTGCATTTATTCCCCAGTGTGGCTGCTGATCTGCGCTCAGCCCTCAAATTTCCCCAGAGGCTGAGGTGTGGGACCTGCTGCACATTGGCGGATGAGGCGAATGCTGGTCACTCTATTCAGTTACCAATGTTCTCCTTGCCAAATGTCCCCTCAAGGACACTAAGAAGGAAAATACTGTAAGGAAATATTTATTTATTTATTAGATCCTCAACCAGCCTGACTACTTACCTCTACTCATGGAAGTTCATTAATATTAAGCTTCTACAGTTCTTCAAATGCAAACAACATAATTCTGCATCAGTCAGTTTTCTGTTTCTTTGATGCTGCAAACACCAAATCATGAAGGCCATGCACTGACAGATTGTGCTCTCTTCCCTTCTGGGCCAAACACAAATAGATTAATAAATAAGAAAATTAAATTATTCAAATATTGAGTTAAAGATGTTCCTATCTTTTTTTGTGTGTGTTTGAGGAGCTTTGTTGTCATGGTTACAATAAAAACCACATGGTTGAGGTTAGGGAATGAACAGGGTCATGTTTTAAAAAATGTGCTGGGAGAAAATGAGGGAATGTGCTGAAATCTGATGTTTCATTCCTCCATCCACTCCAGCCTCCCCCTTACTCTGACTTTGTTGGTTTTTATTGTTCCTTCTTTGCGTCCATCATAATTACAAGCCCTGCTACAGGGCTTGAATGTAAATTTATTGTCTCTATTGTATATGTTGGTATGATTGTTGGTGTCAT